GGGCTGTATTACACTGGGCCCTGTCGGACCCCGAGTTCCTTGGGAAAAGTAAAACCAAAGCAGTCAGCACCATATGTTCCCAAGCTCCCAGCAGGAGTTTGTGTGAATGTGTGGGCACACACTCATTTACACACTCACATAGTCACATGCACACGCCCATGCACATCCATCCACTCACACACGTGCACATACACATGCACACATTCATAAATGTGTATACATTCATGCACACATGCACTCATGTGCACGTGCACACACACACACGCACACAGAGAAATCTCTAGAGCTGCAAAGCTTTTGATACAACAGAGAAATTACTGGGTAAAAATACCTAAATTTTAAAATCCCAGGAGCCCTGGTGGTGTGGCGGCTACTCATTGGGCTGAGATTGGCATGGTCATCAGGTCAAAGCCACCTGCCTCGGGAGAAAGACTGGCTTTCCACTCTTATCAACAGTCACAGTCTCAGAGACCCACAGGGGGTCGCTGTGAGTCCGCCGTGACTCCATGGCGTGCATTCGGTTTGGGGCTGGATGAGTCAATGCAGAGTCAGCCAGCAGGTCTAGGCGCTGTGACCCTAAGAAGCTCCCAGGTAACACTGATGCTGCTGGTCTGTGGACCGCACTTCAATTACTATTAGTCTGTATGCACGGTTAAACACATGCTCCCATGTTGATATACACACATACACACCTTTACACCTGAATCCAAGAACACTTTGGTCACAGTTGGAAACACCACCACGTCCATTTTCTTAGGCTCTTCATCGTCGGGCAGAAGATAATACTCGATGTGGTAGAAATGGCGAACCTTTGTAGGTCTCTCTACTTTAGGCTGCTTTCTGTATTTTTCTGTCAATGTTGGATATTTCCCTTTATGACCTAAAAAACATAAATCAGTCTTGCTTTAGCCTCCTATGGAGAAGCTGCATGTTCCCCACAGCTCCTTGGAAACAAGATCTGATGCTGGGAGAGTCTACAATATCCCCGCAGTGCTCACTGTACCTGGAGGCTCATGGGCGGCCCAGCCCAGTGTTCCTCCTCACCAGCAGAGTAGCAGGGCCTGGCCGAGTGGGAGGGGGAGTGAGGCGAACGAATGCAGACTCTGCGTACGTGGCAATGAGTTCATTGTGGTTCTCAGTAAGGGGCAAGTACAAAGAAGTCATCACAATATCACGCAAGTTGTGTGAGGACAGCAGTATCAAGTACAACAGAGAAGGACCGAAGGCAGAAAGGAACTCAACCTAGGGACAGAGAGTCAGAACTCCGAGGAGGACCTCAGCAGTTACCTAGGAGGGAAGCTGGCAGACAGATGAGAGAAGGCATTCTCGACACAGAGAATAGCCAGACACAAACCTCAAGGAGAAAGCGACCCCTGTGAATTAGCTGGGGCGTAGGATGCAGAAGGAAGGCTGAGGCTTCAGCCAGAGACCAGGACCCCAGCAGCCTCGATGGTGTGCCCTTGAGCTTAAACTATACCTTAGAGGTTAGGACATTTCACACCCACGGAGGTGTTTCAGGTGCTCCATAAATATTTAATCTATATGTTCTTCTATTGTGGGGTACAGAAAGGTTTTCCCCAGCTTGCCCCCTCAAATATATGCCAAACTTAAGATGCCGCTTGCAACACCTGGTAAGTGCACACTTGGAAGCAAGCTGCTTAGAGGTCTCTCCCTGAGGGTGTCCCACCTGAGGTGGGACCCACTCCCTGCTGATAAGGGTAGTGGATTGTTTTCCTAAAGCAGGGGTGTCAAGCTGGAGGCCCACAGCCACATGTGACCCCTGAGATAATTTTTTGTAGCACGGGATGCTCTGAAATAAAATGAAAATAGAAAAAAATCTGTTTGCGCTGGGTCCGGACCATGCAGCCGCTTCCCCCAGCTCTTCTGAAAGACAGCCTGCTGGACTGTGTGGCCCCTTCCCCAGCCTCTCAAGGCCAGAGCCGGACTGTGCAGTCCCTGCCTCCAGCATTCCAAGGAGCTTATCTCTCCAGACTGGGTCTGTACAGCCCCTTCCCTCAGTGTTCCAGGACGATTTACTCACAGACCACATCCTGACTCAGACCCTGCAATTGCGGCACCAGAAGCCCTCCTTCCCCTCATCAGTGCATACGTCCTTGGATCAAGGCCTCTATGTGTCCCACTGCCTCACTGCCAGGCGGATTTCCCTAACTTGTTGGGTCTTGGAACCGTCCGGGGAGCTCAAGATGCCCCTGTCCCTTTCTCTGCTCTCCCTTCCCTCCTGGGAGCTCTTTCCCTGCCCTAATAAAGCCACTCTGAACCTCACGTTCTTTGTCTCAATCCTATCTCCATTCAGTGTCCACTGTTAACCTCTCAAAATCGTTATGAAGAAAATAGTACATACACACAATTCCCTCATCTTTAACTACTGAAGACGAGTATACACTGGCCCAGGGCCTTTCCTGGGGGCCTGTGGACGTGTATAAATGCGCTGACTCCATTCCAGTGACGTTTGGAAGCAATATGTCTGCCACTCTCAGTGTCACGTCATGTAAACAGATCCCAATAGCAAAAAGGTTAAAAAGAGCACTCTGGGTTGTGCTGTGATGAATCATACCTAGTGGCAGCGCTAGTTAACATTTTTAGAGGGAAGCCATTATGATTGTGCATCACGTTTGTCGGCTGTCCAACATTTTGTGCTTTTTATTAGTTATTTTGTTATATTTTCCAGTCACAGCATAAGAAGTAAGTGAAAACTAGTAGGAGGAAAGCGCTGGCAAGTTTTGGGTAAAAAAGAATAATTTTAGTTTTATAAATACATTAAGTAAATGTTTAAATAAAAGCAATTATATGTGTTTTAATTATCCTACCCATATTCCTGAATCCTCACTTTAAAATATAAATTTAACAAAATTTGTAAATGTGAT